GGCACAATAGAATCATATGTGCAAATGGGAAAATTAAAGTGAGAGGTTCAGTAAGTGAGCATAAACCTAGCCTACTCTTGTTTAGCAATTCTGATTCGCATAACCAACAGAACTCAGACCCAACCGTCGTATAGGTAGGAGCATATTGTCATTAAAGTGAATTATGTTTAATAATCAGGCCAATATTTTGTGTGTCCCAAATGTCAGCATAAGTTTTAACTAAGCAACTCTAAATTTACACGAAAGTACAAGTAGAAGATGCCACACACGGGGTCTAGCGTGCATGTGTTGTCAACACCACGGAGCTGACAGCCCCTTATAATGGGGATAGTCCTGATACGCAACGAAGTGGAGTCCATTAATGACTGCCGACCAGTACAAATCAAGGTATTTTGATTTAAACCAGATTTTAATTTCGTCATAGCTACATTTGTGCCAGGAGAACAGCAATACCGCTTTCTACGACTCTCCAACATACTCACCAGTAGTCGGCGAGTTTGCCTACTCTTCAGAGCCGATGCACACTGATGTAATTGATGAATCTGCCCTTTGGAAAATGGTTCGAGAGCAAGAGGCAGAGTTGCGGAGGGCCCACTATAACCTTCCACGAACCGATCCTCCGATCACTACGAACAAGGTGGATGAGGAAAAGACTACAGAATTCGAAACATCGGCAGTATTGATTACACCAAGGTTGTATGAATTGAGCACATCATCAGAGGAAGAGGACTACGAGGTCAAGGGACCTCCTAATTCAAAAGATCCCCTCGAGGTGGGTGTTACAGCGGCTGCATTAAAAGGATTAGATGACCTTTTGGATCCTGGACACGGTAGGGGTACGTCGATTGGCGATTGATGTGTACACCACAGAAACTGGTTAACCACTCAAGTTTCCCATGAATTTCTACAGCATTTAAATGATGATTCCTTACTGTACTCATCTCAGCATGTTTAAGTATCCCCACAGCCAGAATTGGTGGCTTATTTGCAACACAATGTCTTACTTTGTTGATTGGCAAATAAGTAAGGCCTGACGGTAGACCGTCCCATAACCTCATCAAAATTAGCAAACCAAAATTAGCAATGGTCACCACTTTTGGTCATTGCAAAATTTGAGAATCGTTTCAAAGCAATGTGATCGAATTCATAAGATTTTTCGTTTTCCTACTGATATGTCAAAGTCAATTACTTGCCCATGTACCTGTTCACAAGCAGATATTTTTGTGGGCAGGATCTTTTTGAAACACTGAGGCGCCACGCGTGGACTTTCTGAATCATCCCCGGAGGTTTCTGCACCATAAAAATCCGGTCGAGCGCTGAGTCAGTAGAGTTGTGTAATTCTTCGTCTTGATAATGGGATGGCAACATGCTGGATGAAATGAATAAAAAATGAATTCCTGACTATTTTTTACTATCGAAGAATTTCCCAGTCGATGTACCTAAAAGGGATTACTGTGTTTCCAGCAGGAACCTATTCGAATAGGTCCTAACATTTGCTCATATTGAGTAAAATATTAATAGATTAAATGAGCTACATTATGGTTATTCTTTCGACCTATGCT